TACACTTGTCCTCCAACGTTAATAACCATTCCATAGAACGATCTATCCGTCTGCTTTCTGATCACCCTAGGCGATGCGTAGAAGATTGAAATGGTAAAATACTCTGTTACCACGCCTATCCCCTGCTAGCAGCGTTCACGTTTGAAGACCGGTGCGAGAAAGTCGGACAGAGCACCCAGTCCTATCGTCAGACGCAAGTCGACCTCATCATGACTTGCCATACTTCACATCTCCGTGACCCTTCCGTGCTGAGACCGGGGCTTCATCAGCAATCAAACCGCATCTAGCTAAGATATCATATAGGGTCTGTGGTGTTAGAGCTGACGTGAGTTGCACCTCCAGGAGGTCAACACTATTCAACAATTCAAAAGATTGCTGGATTCACATTTCATGGTTACAAGATTCATAGAATGTTTGACTCCTGACAATTAGATAAGAAATTTGTGTCTCACGTTGTTGTGGGTCAGTTATTTTTTCTTTACCACAAACCTAAACATAATTATCATCTGGACAAGATACAGACAGAGCGTTCAATGTAACCTTTTCGGTCAGATTTGGATGCAGTTGTACAGCGTTGTGTTTTGCTCCGCTCACATTACCCTACCCAGCAAGTTGGTTATTCAGTCACAAGACCAAGGTGTCCAACATGAATCTGTCGTCAGAACAACTTAGTTTGTGTTCCATTTTGCAAGTTTATTTCAAAGCTACACATTGATTTGTGCAGGGCTTTATAGTTTGCTCATTTTCGGTCCACATGGTTTGTTCTACCGGTCAAAGACGTGGCCGAGTACCCAAACTATTGCAGTCACGAAAAAAGTGTACGTATGCGATTCCACGTGGGCGCTTGTTTACGCGCCGAATCCGGTGCATGTGCGTCAACGAGAAGTGGTTTTCAGGTTCCATACGAGACATAACTTGATCTATTACTTAAAGCGCTCAGCTTGGATGACGTAGACAGTCTCCATTCCTACACCCATGCTGACATCCATCGCGGAATAGAAACCCTGACTAGAATGTGAACAGATAGCTAGTGGGACGGAAAACACATCGCCCGATAAGATTACGCATCTAGCGACAAATTGTTCTAATGCCATCACTTATCATTTGGACTCGCAACTTTCTGACGGATACATTCCAGACAAATATGGGCTGACGCTTATTCGAATTGTGTCTGGCATGCTATCACAGGAACATTTACAGGCAATTTATGACTTTTCGGTTGACATCTTTAAAAACTACCATTGTATGCTCTTAGCGTGGGTTTCATCAATGTCGTCAGTACACAGCTATGCATCAGAACAAATGCTAGCGAACAAGCTCGTTTTCAGTGGTTCCTCATCAAACTAATACAACACAAATGAATGGAATGAATGTAAACATCAGATAAGGGTACAGGTTCAAAACCCAGGTGGTCTGAGTGACCAAGCTAGGGGATCGGCGCCACGGCGATCAACAGTGTGTTTGTGTGGCGCTGTCCACACTGGGTCCGTGTTACAAGGGACCAGGGTAGAGTTTGGGCCTGGACACATTGTTGGTCGCCGTGCACCAGTCACCTAGCTTGGTCACTCAGACCACCTGGGTTTTGAACCTGTACCCTTAGCTGATGTTTACATTCATGTCATTCATTTGTGGTATATTAGCCTGATGAGGAACCACTGAAAACGAGCTTGTTCGCTAACATTTGTCCTGACGTCTACTCCCGGGATATTTTTTCAGTTGATACAGCTATGCGCTTGGTTCTTCCGATTGAATTTATAAATGTTCGGTGCAGTAGCATAAGGTTTAGCTAGTCTTGGCCTAAATTTCCATGCGATCCCCCCACTTACTTCCCTATTTCCGAGGTAGCCGCGTAACCAGCATCTGATTGGACTATTAAAAATACAAACCACTTAGGTCTATCTGGGAAACTGTTCATGCCATCGTTGTGGGGCAGTGTGCTTTGCATGATGACGCACATGCCGTAACGCGCCACTGCAACAAAACTACACACAGATAATCGAGTATGTGTTTAAAACAAGTGATTCTCTTTATGATTCAATGTAAGAAATTCGGCGTAAATGGTTTATGAAATCTAGTCATTTCGCGCGCCTTCATCAATCAAAAATATGCAACCGCCGCCAGGTATTACAGAAACATGGTCGTGCGAAAGCGATTCGTGACTAATCAGTGGTCGGTTCGCGAGCTTCGTGCCCCCACGGCAGTCTCAGTTAGAGTTAATCGATTTTCTACACAGAGCTGTGACAAGCCTCGACAGGTTACCATAAGTTCAATAGCCGGCGGATTTGAGTTTCTGACCATGCATTCCCACGATAGTTGGCTCATCAGTATTGTGAATTGTTGGCCAGCGATAAATATGTCATCGCCAAGGAAACTGGTGTTCTCGACTCATAGTATTCTGTTCTCAAAGATCCCACTATCTGTATACTAATTTGGCGATGTGTCCATTGATTTCGACACCCAAATTTGGGTCAGTATTATTCCAACGAATCTGCATGTACACGTGAATTAGTAAAGGGCAGAACATTATTTTCCTTGTCTTCAGTGACTTTGTGCTTACCCGATGAAACAACTTCCTTAGTGTCTACCAGATGGATAAGGTCGACTTATTTCTCCTTGATAAGAGGATACTAATTGTCCTTAGTGCTGGTATGGAGCTGTCTCCGCGATAATGTTCGTTTTCCGAAATGCCTTCCATGGGTTGAAATTACCGCCCACCCGTAGTTCGCGTATGCCTGGCACCTATGTCTCCTTCATGCGTATATATTCAAAAGGCTCTGCTAGCAATCCTCCGTAAGTCAATTAACACTCATGCACATGCCGAAAAGGAGGATGATAGTATGACAATAATAATTTAATCATAATTATGAGAATGCACATGGATTTGATGCAACCACTCACAGAATGCACACCTGCCAATGGCATTTCAAGTGGCCACTTGAAAAACAACCGTGTTACTCCGTTTCTTCACCTGTATTCGCTTTATTGTGGGTTTTAAAAAAATAGTTGTAGAAATCATATGCTTAAGAAAGCCCTACAATACCTCTGAAACTGCTTGGTCCCATATGCGGTTACAATGCTTGGCGAATTGGGATAGCAATTGTGTCAACTTCGATCCACTCCGATGCACATATTAATGTTTTAGATTAATCTACAAAATCAATCACCTAAGATTCATTCTGCTTGGCGTCATGGAGCCAAGGTTGGAATTAGAATCTTAAGTCTGGAAGCAGTAGAAGGTCAACTATTTCCGCTTCTCCAAACGCCGAAGACCGTTAAATTGTATATGTCGTCTTCCTGTACAAAGGTACAAAATCTACTAATGAGAGAAAAGTCTATACTGAATTGACTGTCGAGAATTTGCAATCAGAATAATTCATTGACCGAGCATATCAGGATGTCTATGACAAGGCAGTCGATTCAAAAATTTAGGCGTACACTCCAGTGGCAATTGAAAATTCCTGAGTTAGATGGATGTTTTTTAACGGACAGGATATCATATCAGTAAAGGCGTCCGCCAAAATCAAATTCAACATTGATACCTTGGTGTCAAGCAATCCCGACGTAGAAATGCGCCATCCGCTTCATTGAACGCATACTATTTGGATGCGTTTTGTACCGGGTTAATATGCAAGGTCCTTCTGTTAGATGCACCCACGTCGGCCGTGCTGCTTCGTCCAGGTAAACCTGACTGTTCATGGGACACCACACAGTCCAAGCAGGCTGAGGTTCCTATGTTGAATGGTCATACTTTTAATCAACTCCAGTCAGTAGGATAATCATTTTTATGAGCCGAGTTATTTGCCAGTTGATTTTATTTCGACCAACTGAGTTGACCTCGCCGTGAAAGATATCATGTGACTTCAAACTTTATGTCAGAGATAGAAACACCCGTGGTTGTAATAAAGGAACGAATGACGCTGCTCTTTGGATTTGGTGGCATATCCTAGATGGTATTGCGATTGCTTCAAGATATCTGATCGTAAGAATGCTTGTGGCAACCTTACTTTTGGTGTTAGATATATGGCGTTGGTGTATATTATACTAATGCCTATTGCTTGCACACTGAGTGACTCAATGTGGTTAATCAAACTTTGTCCTCACAAGTTCCCATACCACATAATTTGGCTACGTGATTCTGCTCTCGACTGCAGCTAAGATCACTGTGCATAAAGGATCTATTTCAAGCTTTACTTGACTTTCGAATTGATCCATGATAAATTCAGCTATATTGACAATACAACTTTTCGATTTGTTGGCAAAAAAACATAGGACTTCTCCGTTTTTGAACAGCAAAACAGTGAGACACATCAGGAGTGAAATAGCGAAGCGGCCGTTATAAACTTGTGATGCGACGTAACAAGGAAAACTCGAAAGCTTCTTTACTAAGTTAACCTTAATTATGCTGATGCGTTTGATAAAACTAAGCAGCCGAAATTTGTTGTCGTTTTGTCGTACTAACCAACAGCTGATTAGGCAGGCCATGTTGCTCAGGAGTTATGACTGTTAAGCTACTACTTATAGATCGTCAGTAGCTGCATTTATTCTGGAAGTGGAATTCATGCTGCGTCATTTCCGCTGAATTTTCCACGCAGTTGAGACTGCGCGACGCAATTACAGCTCATATCTGAACAGACATCCAACGCAGTACAGTGCAACGATAGTAGCGCACACATGTGCAATCATTATCTTAGTGAATATGGTCGATCTATGATTCAACTACAATTGTATGCTCTAGAAATCATTAAACAAGTATAGCATAAGTTATCGGTGTACATTAGATGATTAATTTGAATTGTAGATTAAAAGTATATTTACTGAAATTAAATATACTTTGATATACTACTGTTTTGGATATTTCAATGAGGATGATTAGCCGGCATAGTAAACTTGAAATCGGTTAGCTGCACAGATCTAAGCCCCCTGTTCATACTGCTAATTTCTAAGCATTGGGTGACCTTGGTAAATATGTTGGTTTCACTGCGCTTCTGTTGCGCATTCAGGGTTGTGTCAATTCTCACTGGTGGAAATATTGATACCACAATTCTTGGACGAGTACTTGAACGTGGGTTGGCCTTCGAGGGCCGCATGTGCAGATTCACAGTCCTGGTATCCGACAGACCAGGAGGCATTGCTGAATTGTGCGGCTTATTGGGAGGTCTCGGGGTCAGGTTAGTTTTCTCTTCTGGTGTTTACAGTTTTGCAATCACTTATTTCGCGCATGGAGCACGCCTTGATTTTCGTGAACAACAGACAACTTTAGACGGCGGATCACCGCATATTGATATACCTTGGAAGAGATAAAAAGGACTGCTTGGAAGAACCATTTGAAATCATTTTGTGTAAACCGATTGCAACGCATACTGGGCTTAATCTCATGTTTCACATATTTGTCGACCGGTTACTTATTTAACGAATTCCCAGATTCATAAAAAGTCTATATGGCATGTCAAACGTTTGACAGAACATGGAGAACCCAGCCGAAACGTTTGTCAAACAAAATGCGTTGTCATGCGATGTCTAAAAATGCATCAGTCTTCAGCTTTGGTTGCTCAAATCATCCGCTAGACTTTTGCATGTATGCGCTACAAGCCGAAATGCAACTAATTGAGTGATATGAAAGTCGGTCAGAAACAACTGACGTTGTGACTTCAGCGCTATCGAGGGCCGTTCGAATCAGAACATAAATTAACTGTAGCTTGGTAGTTCTTGTGTTGATGCAGTCAATTTGATTGCAATGTTAGGTTTTTTGTCACTAAATCCAGATATTCGGCTGCCACTGGGGCATCAAGGCTGACCAGTTACCAGTGCCTTAAGGCAAACTACCTGAAAGCTGGATGTAATATACTTTGTTTCAGTAGACAATTATAAATAACTTTGCGCGTGTTGACATTATCCTGCCTCAGGAAATTTCACAATGCCCCATGTCTCAAATCTTTATAACGCTATTAAAGAATTCTTGTGGTAACTTACTCCGGGGTTGCAGAGAACCCAGTTTAATCATTTGCTGACTGATCAGATGTAGTGTGTGTGTTCCTGAGATCGAGTGATGTTTCAGCGACAGTCACTATTATGTTTCCTGCTAGCTAATCGGAACAGGCACCTAGTTCGATATCTTATTTTATTGCATGGTTGCACCGTTCTGGCAATATTTTATTTTCCCAGAAATTTATCGGATCATAAATTTCGGCTTGAGCGTACGCTACGTTCAGACAGACAGATCCTCTGGCTCTCCGGCAGCATACCTCATAATCCGTAGAATTGGGCCTCCGATTCTCTGGAAATAATGCGCATTTAACGACTGAATATGATTCGTTTCGTATTCGTCGCTGCCTTATACAGTTTATATTGAGCTGTTGGGATAGGAAGATGTACATGAGAACAACTAACAAAGCATGGATTGATCATCCTCATTAATTTCTTGGACAGCCACTCGTACATTTCATGGGCAACGCTGACGAATAAGGGCACGAAGCAGCAGAAAAATAAGGAATATTTTAACACAGATAGTAAAATTTACTTGAGGTACGTGTTGTATGGTCATGCAGTCTAGAAACATACAATGAAGTAACAAGTTGGTGGGTGCTCAGTTGCAAATATGTGGCAGTGTATTTAGTCATGTTACAGGGAAAGTTTATTGCCATGAACGCATCTAGTTCAGTGTGAGAGCTGGGGTTAGGTTTAGGAATTGTTGCCAGTTTACCAATCGCAACGAGCGGAATTCAGCAAACCTGTACACACCAGAGAACTCCTTTCATTCCTTCATGAGAATCAGCTCAAGTAAAAACCGAGGACCATCTGCGTCGTTTATTATTTGCGTAAATATTGCATGTTTCTGCAATCATAAATTCTCTCGCTTTATAGCCACAGGTTGTGTATGATGAACTGTGATGGCATATAGGCAGAATGCTGCTTTAATAGTACGCCATAATGTGTGGAATCTTCCTAATAACAGCGATTGAGTGGCCGACGAGGCGGAATAAGGACCCAAATTTCTTAAACATTTTTACCATATTGTGCTGGAGAATTGTGCAGGTGTCTTTGATCAAGTTTAGAATACACTCCTTATAGCTGCCGTCAGTTGGCAATGACCGAGTACACTGAAAGCTCGGGTTGGGCATTCTGTTCCCCTGTGACAAGTTTGGAGCCTACTGTCACTTTTTGAGTAAAAGGTATAGCCCCAGTACAGCCCCGTCGTTCAGATCATTGACTGATGTCGTAGGAATACTGGCTGAAATCTACTCGTATAATTAACTAGACACAGTAAAACGTGACCCGTCTAGTAAGATCATGTGCACTTCCTAGTTCCACGTAACATGCATGAGGCAACATACATGGTCAACTGGTTGCGCTTGCTACTCGGTAAGAATGCAGCAGTGATAAACCCCAATGAAATGATGAAACCCCAATGAAACCCCAATAAAAAGGGTAAAATCACCGTCGGTGTTATACCGCAGGTATGACGATTGCATAATTAATCGCAATAATGAGGAAGATACTGTGAAATCTGATAGAGTCATCAAAGGTTCTCTCTGCTCCTCTAGTTTTCAGTTACCATTTCATAACGGTACAATTTTAAAGTTTGCATTTGTATTCCACAGTTGATTATCCAAATAGCTGTCCTTTGATTTTTGGGTCACAAAATATCTGCAAAATACGTTTATCACTCTTTACAAGAACATACCTATATATATATATATATCTCTGTTGCCAGGCGGGAGAGCTTATGGTGCGCTGAGACCAGTGGTGGTTACATCCTGACAAATGGTCTACCCACTGCTGCTACTGTTGTGCCATTGGCTTATGACCTGGACGCCTCCTCGTGGCGACCGCTGGGTGGGAGTTGGCTTAGGCCCTTCTCCCTGCTAAGATCGAGGATACCAATCCGCATGAGTCAGTGAACTGACCATGTGCTAGACCCGCTGCCTTTCAGGTGTACATTTAATCGAAGGCTTTGGCTGAGGACCCGAGTCGTTCTCCTGTCAGGTGTGGGCGCCCTGCCAGTATCCTAGTCCATCCTCTTCGAAGGTTAGGAAGTGGTCGATGGCCTTCTTCCCGTAAAATCTAGCCATAGGTGACAACATGTCTACGGGTTATAAGCTTACAGCTCGTTAGGCATAGAGCACTAGTGCCACGCATTGTCTCTGACGGTGGGAGTGCACCTCCGGGTGTTCAGGGATTTGCTACTGCTCGCCTCAAGCCAGGCAGCCCCTGGTAAAATTGGTGTAAACCTGCCAAAACTCTCCTACGTCTGGCCGTGGTCGCAGATGTATCCTACTACAGTTGCAAAACATATATGAATTGTTCCCGTACCTCAAAGGCTGCGTGTGACGGCCGTCAAGTAGATCCAAATCTGAATTGTTCATGCACATAATCGTACGTAACGGAAACCCTGCTTTGTATAATTTGGGTGCGCCTCGCTTTCTAGGTGTCTGTCTCCGCAGTCACATTCCCAAGATGGATCTATTCCCCACTGTTTTGTGGGTCAGGCTATTGAGCCAAAGATTCCGGGTGGAGTCCCTCAAGCAAACCTCCGAAGCAAAACGACCACTTCGCGTGCGATTGCCCAACAATGTAATCGTATGCCTGCGCGCAAAGCACAGCATCGGGTACTGGAACGTGCGCACACCACTGGACTGGAACTCGTGTGATCGCCCCGAGGAACGCACTGCACTCGTCGAGATGTAACTGGCGCGCTACCACATCGATATTGCGGCTCTCAGTGAGACCCGGCTCGCTGAGCAAGGTAAGTTGCAAGAAGCAGGTGCTGGCTACACATTCTACTGGGTGGTCAACGCCGTCGCAACACCACGAGCACATGGGGTCGGATTTGCAATATCCGATCGCCTCCATGGCCAGCTCGTGGGTGAACTAACAGGCATCAGCGCGCGACTGATGACTGTCCGCCTAGGATTCGGAAGAGGTAAGTTTGCCACTTTTATCAGCACATACGGTCCGACCATATGTTATCCTGATGACGCGCGTGATCAATTCTACACTCAGCTATCCTCTGTGATACGGTCTGTGCCGAGGAGCGACCGACTATTTCTGCTGGGTGATTTCAACGCGTGCGGTTTTTTGTGATGCATCGGTGTGGGCTGATGTTATCGGTTCGCATGGCATTGGTTCAGCGAATGCGAACGGTAACAGGCTGCTCTCACTGTGTGCCACTCACGACCTGACGATCACGAACACTCGGTTTGCACTGAGTGCGAGCGAAATAGCAACTTGGACGCACCCACGAAGTGGTCACGCTCACCTGCTCGGCTAGGTCATCATACGTCAGCGTGATATGCGTGAAGTGCGCATGACAAATATACTGCGTGGAGCTGAGTGTGGCACTGATCACAAATTGGTGTGTACCAAACTGTACATATATTTTCGTCAATCTATGTATTGCACTTCTGCCGTGAATCGGCGTAAATTTAACCTTCTCTCCCTCGGCACTGCGGCGAAACCTACTGAGCCGGAGAAGGCGATGGCTGCACGCCTGTGTGATGTGAACTGCATAGCCACAGTGGGCGACCTGGGGCACCACATCCGCGAACAGATGAGAGCTGCTGCTGAGGAGACAACCTGGCGTATAAACTGTAAGCGGCCTGATTGATTTGATGAGAACAATGTGACGATTGGCGCAGTGGTGTCGGGGGAAAATGCAACATTTGCTGCACATGTGACAGACCCCAGTGACTTGGGGAAGAATAGTCAGTTACACAAAATTCTACGGCGACTGACCCGAGAGCTCCGTCGCCTTAAAATTGCATTGTGTACGAAGAAGACGAAGCAGATGGAATGCTACACCAAACACCGCCAACAAAAGGAATGTTTCGACTTCTTGGAGGCGGTGTCTGAACCGAGATTGGAGCCACTGAGGACCCTGATCGATGGTAGTTCAGGCGCTACCTGCACACAGACTGCAGACATAATGCAGATCTGGCGAAATCACTTTGACGATCTCTTGAACAACCGTTCAGAGATCGACTGGCCTACATTGAACTGCCTGAAGCAGCATGATATGAAGGCGAGTCTGGCGCACAAGCCGACACCGGGTGAGAGGCAGAGAGCACTTGCTCACCTGCGAAGCGGCAAGCGTGCGTGGGCCGACGGGAACCCGAATGAAGTATTGAAAGACGGCGGATCCGTGTTGGTGAGTGCGCTGCATCACTTGGTGCCACGCGTTTGGATTGAGGAGGAGGTGCCTGCTGAGCTGAAGGATGCCCTTGTGCTACCACTGTACAAAAGCAAAGGGAGCAAGCAATGTTGCACGAATTATCGTGGCATCAACTTGCTGAGTTGTGTGGGCAAGATGATTGCCCGAATCCTGCTCAACCGCCTGGTCCGTCAGGTTGTGGAACCTAAAGCGGCGGAAGAGCATTGTGGATTCCGTTCGGGTCGCAGCACTATAGGTATGGTGTTTGCAGCTTGTCAGTTGCAAGAGAAGTGCAGAGACGTACACAAGCCGCTAAATTTACTTTTTGCTAATTTCCCCAAGGCATTTGATACGATGAACCACGAGACATTGTGGCTGGTATTGGGTAAGTTTGGTTGCTCGCGTAAAATTGTAAGTTTAATTGAATGTTTGCACAGTGGTATGGGGCGAGGATGCAGATGTGGGGACAGACCTCGGATGACTTTGTAGTTGTTTCTGGTATGAAGCAAAACTGTGTCTTAGCTCCTGTCCTCTTTACTGTATATCTTCATACAATGCTGTCTTGTGCTTTTGATGTGGCCTGTGCTTACGGTGTTCGTGTGGAGCACCGTATTGTTGGTGAGTTGCTGAACATCCGTTGTTTCGGTACGAGAATTCTAGTCTGGAAGACCACCATCCGTATGTTGCTGTTTGCTGATGACTGTGCGTTGTTTGCACACAGTGCGGATGAGTTGCAACACATGACTAGTACTCTGGCTTGGACAGCGGCCAAATTCGGGCTCACCATCAACACAAGCCAAACTGTCTGTCTATTGCAGCCTTCACCGGAGGTGCAATCTTCAATATTGCAGCGAATCAACCTTAGTGGTGAAGTATTGGAAACCACCTCTTGCTTCTGCTACCTTTGGAGTGTGATGTCGACTGATCAGCAGCTACACAGTGAGCTTCGTATCCGCTTGTCGAAGGCAGCGGCGGCATTCGGGAAGCTTGAGTACCGAGTGTGGAACAACCATCAGCTTGCCATTGGCACGAAGCTGATGGTGTACATATCCATGGTTCTCTTACGGCAGTGAAATGTGGACGATGTACCGTCGGAATGTGCGATATCTCAAATGGTTCCATCAGCAGTGCTTGCGACGAAGTTTGCGCATCGGTTGGATCGACAGAGTTGCGGACACGGAATTGTTGCACCATAGAGGAACGTATGCAGTGGACTGCATACTTTTGCTGAGACACCTGAGGTGGATCGGTCATGTGAATCGTATGGATTCGACGCGTATACTGAAACAATTATTACATGGTGAGCTGAGTAGTTGGAAGCAGCATGCGGGGAAACCAAAGTTACGTTACCAAGACATGATCAAAATGAGCCTCTCACGTTCCAATCTTAATTGCAGGTCATATGAATCGAAGGCGGTTGATTGGTGTGCATCTGGTCACGAAGGCAGTTGGCGAAGTGCGGGAGAAGGCCCTCGTCCACGCAGAGAAGAAGCGGCAAGTGCGGAAGCGGGAAACACTATCGACATCAAGCGCATGACGCTGTAGCACATGCGGTCGCGAGCGCCTGAGTCAGACAGTCCTTGTGAGCCATGAGCGAGGCCATTAAGGGACCATCACGGAAACGACGACGGGTCATGCAGAGATGCAGGCAGAAGCGGCGCAGCGTACGTAGATACGCTGCGTTCTATGTACTAACCGCGTGTTTGCATGCTAAACCTCTTTATTTCAGGTGGTGGGTTTTCAATGTTGTCCAAACGCTTTTCCTTCTCATTGTAATGTCTACCTGAACAATCTATAAACTTGCACACGTCGCTGAAGCTAACTGTAGTTATCATCCATAACATTTTCGCTTTTGTGGTACTTAATTAAAATATAATTTCTGACTTCTTGAACTTATCGCGGATTCGTTCGTATCCAATTTATGTCATTCTCTAATTTAGTGAAGAGTTATGTCTCCGTATCTGTATGCCTTATCCGATTTATTTTCTTTCATCTTGCCGTTTCAAATGATTGCCTGTTGCTTGTTTTCCCCGGTGTGGTTGCGCTTAATGCGCATGTTGACAAGGTGCCTACCTGTCTATTACCCACTACCTCTTCCATAATGCCTCCAAGATACAGTTGGTCGTTGCTGGAGGGGACGGGGTGCACGGTCCTTGTAGCTGTGCTACGCTCGAAGAGTGGCTCCGTACGCTTAGTGTGGAGCGGACTACGGTCCAGCCACTGCCTTGTGTTTGATTGATTCTCAAATATAACATGCTTGTGTTTGCCTGTGAAGGAGTGTGGGCCGGCTCCGTTGATGAAACGTGGCCACCATCCTCATGCCTCCCGGTCTCATTCCTCCTGGTTTACACTGGATATGGGTTACGTGGTTGGAGCTGTGGATGGTGCAGCGCAAGCCACCCATGGTCCCTTTGTAGGCGCACGCGTTTTGTGGCTGGCCACAGTGACAGCCAAATCCTAAACCGGATGCTGTCTACCATTATTGCAGCGATGCATTCGATTTACCATTCCCAGAAGTCTTTTGGTTCGCACAAGCCAACCGACGTCATAACTTTCAACCCTTTGAATGCGCACTTTATATTGCTGTTCCGAGGAATGACCAGTCAAAGGACTTGCGTCGCCAGGCAGTCCTTTGGTGGTTTGTATGCCGGTGCAATCATATTTATTCAGCCGCAAGTGCCTTTATGGTATAAACAAGCTTAGAACATTTTAAGCCACCATGAATTAATGTTAGATCATTCCATCCAATCCGAAGGAAATGTGGTGGTTTCCGCACAGTTTGGCCGGATGTCTCTACCTTTCCATGCAGCACCAAAGTGCATGGGGCTTGAGAGCAGAGCAAGTCATGGACGCACAAGATGCAACCCATAGTGGCACGGCTAGTTCTGGAGTGATTCCCGCACGATAAATTGATTACGGTGTCAAATCATGATATGTTTAAAAATACTTGTCTGTACTCATTTTTTAGTTAACATGTGACTTGCTGTTAAATCATAACCTAGTGCTGTTATCCCATCAGAAGCGAATGCTAACTGCTTGTGTTCTCTTCATCACACATTCCAAATGTTCTTTCCACCCACATCACAGTATCAAGGATATTTTTCATGAACGTGCATGGATTCACTCCAGCGTATACAACGTGCAAGTGAAACTGGTATGCGAGACGCGAGACGCAAACCACGCGGCCGAATTGGAACGAGTGCTCAGGCAGCACTACGATCATGTGGTTTGGGGAGCCAGTGCGGTTTGACAAGACTAGCGGACTGAAACCTATCCGCGTTGCTCATATTTTCATTCCCTTTTGATTATCTGCTGAAAATTGTACTTTGCAATCACTCCATTCTGAATTACCACCCTGAGGCCCTGCGGTATACCCCACTGTCTTCCAATTTGATCTAATTCTTTTTATGGTCCATGATCAGATGTACCTAATAATTGGCATTTCATTCCAGATCTTTTCATCATTTATTTACCGTATATATTGCTGATTACACTGGTATTCTTGGATGTTGTAGACGAAACGCATCGGCACCGACAGCTCTAAATGTAGGCTCGCTTTTCCATGTCAAGAGGACAAGCTCAGTAGGAGGAAGCAAAACCAACGCGACTGCATTGTTTACGGTTAATCGGCCCATAAAATTTTCCGTCTAGCCATCTCCGTTTTTCATACTGAGGCCGGTTGACTTGCAAGCAAGAACCGTGTGGGAATATGCGGTATTGCTATGAGGTTGCTGCGCCCATTGTTTTAACAGTAGATGCATGTGATGTGCGTATAACGCGCTACTATCCGGTTGTTGTAACAAAGACTGGATTGTACGCTTGTTTGTGCTTTACCCCTTACATAAAACTACATTGTCTCGAGTGTAACGCAATGGAAACCGCACTAGGGTGTTAAATTGTACCATTGCGTTTTATGTCTCTATTTTACAGTAATTAGCTCCACGGTTCGACTATTATACCTTTCGTTTGACTAGCTTGTACTGTTCATTGGTTGTCTACGTAAACCCGTTTGTTGGATTAATTGTGTTGGTAGTGGCCGAATAAATGTGCTTGCCCGACGTACGATCGTACTCATTGTGTCCTGCGTGCGGTGCTATTGCTTAGATGCTTGTCCAGTGCGTGCGTGTGCTTTTGCTACTTGTTCATCGCGGTTAAGCCGGTGCCGCGTACCATCACATTGATTTGCTTTCAGTGCTTACTTTCCTAGCCTACATCCATACGCCTATCGAGGAATTACATTACGCGGAGATAAAGCAAATCTTCGACCGAGTATGACGACATTGGTGACTATGGAATTGATTCACTTAAACAAAGGACAAACTAATTTCTGTAAACACAAAGTATCCGCAGGGAGTAGTGCAAAATAATATTCCGATGGTATCAGCAACAGCCGAATTTAAAGGCTACGCCACTGAACTTTTGTCCAATTCACTAACGTTTGCGCAGTAAAATTATGCGACCCGGCCATCGATGGCTGTCTGACTAAAATCTACATACGAAAATAAGTACACTCGTTTTTCTGTCGCATTTTGGTGATAATTTGTATTCACGGATTTCAAAAAACAAAGATCCCAAAAATTAATTAATCAACTGAATTAAATCAGGTTATCATGCAGTGTAACTCTTTGTGATGTAGTGTCGTAACTTTGCTCCAGCATGATGAGAATGAGGAAACCGGTGCTTGGAATGTTGTTACAGTTGAAACGCTGGTTTGGGGCTTTGTTGTCTCCACTTCGTAGCATACATGATAATTGAAGATGAGCTGCAGTATATCGCAGTTACGTCTCAATTATAGCAATCCGCTGCCCTCCCTCATGGCCCAGTGATATAAGCCGCTAACTCGCAACAGTAAGTCCTTGGGTTCGTACTCGACAGGTACGCGCTACTGACGAGTCCCATTTTGACGAAGCAGCTGTCTCCCACTTTTCTGGCCGACTCTAGCTGCAACGAATCTTTCAATAAACGTTTCTATGTTTGGGCACACCAGGCTGTTCAATTAGATTTGGTAGACAGACAAGTGTTTTAAGAATCTAGGTCCGAACCTATTTTGGATACGATTACCTCTTAGCTCATCTCCTTTAGCTAATTTACCATCTCGATATTGCAGCCGCTTCAAGCCCGAGTCGTTCTCTTCCACTCCACAGTGGAGTGTGTGATCAAGAAGCGAATTGCCCGCATCCATCAGTTTGACTGCAGTGCTCAACCAACCAGACAAAGTACTCTAGATCAACTAGCTCACTGTGTAAGGTAGCAACGGTATGCTGAGTAGCAAAAAGCAAGTAGATGCGAATCCAACACGACCCCAGTGGAGAGGTAAATGAGGGTCCGCAGAATGGATCCGCTCAGACAAATTTGGTTTGCCCTACTCACATCGTTTCAAATGTTACCACCCAAATGGTGCAAATCTTTCCCACTCACAGATAAGAGATCGAAACGGTTCCCAAGACAATGTCTGGGTTTGTACTGCGTGTTCGACAATAACTCTAGTCAAATGCATACTTCTCCTAAGCCAAAAGTGCGGCCAGTTGGCAGAAGAAGTGGAATAACGAATGAAAGCTAAGATTATACTACTGGAAGAGAGTATGCACCAGGCTAACACGGTGGCTTCTGAGAGAAGCAATGGTGCAAAATTTGCTTCGCACGAACAACGATTGGCAAGTTCGCCATTGCAGTTATCTTCTTCAAGTTTAGAAGAACGATGGGCGAAAACAGACCGTGGCTCTAACAATCAAACGATATTTAGCACCACAAAAACCAGGGACCACCTAAGTCATGTGATCGATAAAATTCAGCCGGAGTTAACGACTTTTGTCATCAACAAGGATGGGACGGCCCAAGCCGAGTCTACTGCAACTGCAACCCAAGGGTCGAGTTCAAATCCACCGGGACTTCACTCACCTATGCAGAGATCGCTGCAAACACCACTGACGCAAATGGTATGTCATGCAATAGACCATCAGCACTTGGTATAAAGCCGGTATCAACGCTCACTCGTCCATGTAGCCAAACCAATGAGATTCCAGCAATAACGCCCTGACTGTTGTGTGCAAAAATGTCCCCGAATCTACCGCCATCTCATCACGAGTTAAATTGTCTGACGACCAAAGCCAGTGGAACTCATTGTGCATTTTGATGGACGGAAAAGCCAAACTCACAAATCCAGTGAGAGTTACTCGTCACCCGAACTACACGTTAAGGCGAACGCAGGATTACTAAAGTAACAATAGTACACGTCACTGATGGAGAAAACGTTTTGCACATTGCAAGCGCGCTACAACACGGATCTTTTAGAGTACGTAGCTATACTGAGGTCTTTTGTAGCGCGCAACAATCCAAAAGTAACATCTCGGATGGCCACAGGATGCTGGATTGTGTAAGCACAATCATGAGTTCGGTAATCACGATTTGGGTCAGTTGCGGTTCATTAGTGAAAAACTTCCTTGTACAACGTTGCGGCGCGATCTATCAAAAGGCTACCTCTCACAACAAATTATAGAAGAAATGGACTAGGAATCCTAAAACCCCTGGTTCAGGCAGAGTAGCCAGAGACGGATGTGTTAGTAGGTTGGCGACGACATCGGAAAAGTCTTCGATCTGAACTGCGGCTAAAAGCTGCTGAAGCTTTGTAATGACCAGACACGAGACTATCCGAAAAAGCAACCCTATCACCGATTACGCAAGAGCATCACTTTAACGCTAGGTAACGCCATTTTTAGTATGTCCGGACGAGGAACGGGACGTATCTTAACCAATTTAAGTTGCGAGCGCTGTGTCATCATCATCCCAGCAAAAAGAAGAATAACGGCCGACTTTGCATCAGTTAACATTCCAACCCACTTGAGTTTACAGCACCCTGTGGGCTCCTGGAGACTGAGAAACTATTCTGCCTTTATACCAATACACAAGGTCTTTCCCATAAGCTGGCTGAACTGAAAGATCGCCAACTTTCGAAACCATTCGATATCACCGGTGTCACGGAGATATGGTTGCACATTTGCATGACAGCCGCTGAAGTCTCGCTGCCGAGCATGTCACTCATACGAAAAGACAGGCTTACGAAAGGAGGAGGGGTAATTATTTATCACTGAAGCGGCCTACAGTGCGTGGTCGTTGAGCATTCAGACACACAATTCGCCGATTCTCTTTGATGCCGACTGCAATTACATGGCAGTGACACCTGCTTTATAACTTTGGTGTACCGCTCCCCCAACTCTACACCGGAAATGGACTGCCACCTGACTACTTCTTTAAAATGCAGTCTAAATAGAAAACACACTCACATCCTTAGCATGGGTGAATCAACGTACACCATTTAGAAACCCCTGCTACAATCGGAGAACAAATTAGCGCAGATCTGCAAGTGCTCATAACCAGCGTTCCAATCTACAATCACGTCATCATGCCCAATCGTTTCAGAACAGGTAATAGAGCAACTTTGCTGGATATTGTGTTCACCAACGAGGAACATATGATTGTGGCATTGATCGTAGTATGCCGTTTGGGTCGCATTGATCATACACTCATCAGTTTCGACTTCATCTGCTATGCAGAATAACTGCACCAGAACCCTTAGATGGTGCGCACTAGTACGCTCTACGACCGATTAATCCAGCTCGTCAGTGGCACAACCTGTCGTTCCTTGCTGAAGACCACCCGGAAGTCGCTTGGCTCGAATTCGTCAGCAAATTCAACCAGTTGTTTACTGACGCCTCAGAGACAATGGTTTGCAATGTGCCTAAAACTATTTATTTCTTAAGGAGCAGAACTAGAAAACGGATGACTGTGCGCGAAGCAGCCTGGCGAGAGCACAGCTCATCACCAACGCTATATAATTAGGACAACTATGTAGGCTACTCAACTGATTAGAAATGACAAAGTCGGGTATCAGCAGCATATGGCGAAACATTTTAGCGCTAACCACAAACTGCTGTTCAAATATGTCAATGGCCGTCGTAAGGTGAGGTAGGGAATTCCTTCGCTCCGGACGACTGATGGTCCAGCTAGAACAACTATAGAAGCAGCAACGCGTTGCGGACGCAATATGCTCCCACAGTACAGTGGGTCTTACCATCGGGCCATCTTCCCACTTTTGTTTTCTCACCTCCTGGACTCATCCACTTTTCTTTTACTGCCGAAGCCGTTTTGATGAATCAGAGATGGATATGCAACCTCAGCACCCCGGGAGTCAACATCAATTGCCCAGAGCACTGCGAGGGGCTGCAAGCCAATTGGAAAAACGGTTGACCCAGTTCTCTCAACACTGCTTAGACAATAACCAGTTTCCTGCGAACTGGAAAACTGGAATAATAAGTCCGATCCACAAAGGCGGAATTAAGATTGAGTCCATAAACTATCGCCCAGTGTTTCTTCTCCCTGTACTGTCCAAAGTCACGGAATCCATCGTTGCCGATGCGTTGGTGGGTTATCTAGCAATTTGTAACATTATTGCT